CAAAAATTTAATTTTAAAAGATGTGCATCTTTGAAAAATTTATACTATTCTCCCAAAAAAGCGCTTGTAGAATCTAATTAATTCAGAATATCTCTGCTATATATGTCGAAAATCGTATCTACTATACAAACAACAAAATGCGATAGTGATATTATAATAAAATCTTGTAGTGTCTATTACCTTCTTATTAATCTTTCCATTTTGGTCAATCTGGCTATAATCTACCAACAATCATATCGCATACATGCATACATTATTTATATAAACTAATAAATATTATAGAACATAATACTTTACTTCGCAAAATAGTTTAATTGATTAACATTCCGATTTTTATAAAGTTTGTCATTACGTTTTGTGAACAATTTGCAATTCTTTCGTCCATTTATGTAACTTCGACCACGATGAGTAAATGGAGTAATAAAAGTATGCATGTTCAGTCGGAGTAATGACCTAGAGTATCCCGAAAATAATGTATGTCAGCAGCAGCATTCCATCCTTGGCAAAATTTTTAAAACTGATTTTTAATGAATAGAAATTTTATTTAAGACTTTTATTAGTTTCACTCAATTTTTAACGTCTCAATTTTAATTAGAAATTATATTAAACAAGTGTATTTAAAACTTCCTTTAAAAAACTAAGGTGCTCCATACGGGTATTTGACGAGAAATAAAAATGTTGCTACTGTGATACATAATTTTGTAAAATATTTTAGAGTAATTATGAAGCAATTTACTTATAACGTTTGTTGTGCAATTAGAATTTTAATTAAAAATTTTTTAACGACATGTATTTTAATATTATATGAGTACCACCGATACTTTTAATTCATAATGAGAGATGTTAATAAAATTTATACATCACTAATAGATAGTGAAATTGCGAAATCACATGATACAATTTCAAATATTTGTTAATTATACATGCCACGTTTATCGAATAATTGTTATAACACATAGATAATAAAGATATAATTGAATATCGCATCGTAATATTTACAATGATATGTGGTAATAAGCGAGAATATGTAATGTATTCAAATTTTGTACGAGAGCCTTTTTCGCGAAGTATATCCTTTATTCTTAGACGAAAATTCCTCTATTTATTAATATATGCGTAAAATAGAAAAATAAATAATAAATTGACGAATGGGTGTAAGGTAAACGCAAATAAAAAAATCAATTTACAAATAAATATAAAACATATATTTAAATTAAATGCCACAAAATATCTTGCTTTGCGATAAACCTGAAATTAATGTCCCTTTTTTAATTCCTCCACGTGAAATTACAGTGCCAAAGAGACAAATAACTGTCCATCATTCTACAACAGTAACGTGTACACGTATACGTTTCAACAATGATAAAGCAACATATTACCGAATTTTGTCAGAAATTAAGTGAATATTACATGCGCTATATTTGAGGAAAGAATCTAAAAAAAAAAAAATTCGCTAAATATCGGCCATTTAATTCGCCGGATGAGTCCACCTGATCTCATCGATATATTCAGTCTTCATCAATTTATCAATCTACCATATATCAATCCACCACACCACAGTTTCACGCGGATTCGTTAGAATTAATTAAAATACTAGTCATTTCGTGCCGCGCGCGTGCTAACGAAGCAAAGGAGAATCGAATCGAAAAAAAAATACATTGTCGCTCTTCTCGTTTCTCTCTCCTTTCTTTTTTTCCTTTTGGGACTAAATGATATTTTCTTAGGTATATAACGAAGCGATTTTTTTGGTTCACTCGAAGATGTGCTTCTATAAAAAATAAGACTTAAAATAAATTCAGAATTAATTTCAATTCAGGATTCGATTAAAATCAATTTTCTCGTATCCGTTAATAACGTCAAGTAGAAAATATTTTCAATAGATCTCAATTCAGATTACAGGATAGATAGATGCGAAAAAAAATTTAAATTATCTTTATAAATCTGAAGTAATTTTTGCTCTTAGATACTTGGTGAACTTCGTAAAACGTAATTTCACGAACTTTTTCAATCCACTCTTTTTACATGCTAATTCAAAGAGATACAGTACCGATCAACATTTTTTTTCTTTTTTGTATTTTGCCGATGATATCAAGAGCGCAAGTGCTCTCAGAAACGAGTACGCCTATTTAATGACACGTCCTATAATTAATGGAACTATTATTGCTACTAAATCGATCGTGGATCTTATATTATTGCTCTGTGGGAGCTTGGACAATAACGTGGAAAATCCGTGGCTTCTCCAATCATCGAACCATTATTAGAGAGCAGTTTTTTAACGGTGCTTGTTACCGGTGTCGTATCGTTTCTCGAGATCGCTCGCAAATCTGGTTGATACAATCATTACGCGCCGAGCAATGAACACTAACTGTGGTACATACAGGTGGCTTTCAGGAAAACCATATCGTTTTGCGCATGGACGTAGCACTTCGCAACATGTCGTTGACTTATCTCGCATATTGGGCTAACCGTAGCTGCCTTCTCGTCGCACATTGACATCGAGCGATTGAAGCTAAGGATTAAAAAAGCCGCGTTCAGTGCTAAAGATCGCCATGCAATTTTTATCATTTCCGCTCATCTCTATGTCAAATAAACGATCGGGCCAAAGATCGGAGGAATTGTATTTAGCACTAAACGCGGCAATATGCACACGAAATTACGTAAGTGAGACGTTTTCGCAAAGCACGTTTAGAGTTTCAATGCTTGCGAATTCTAGCAAATTCCCTCTCCTCCCCTTCGTAATATTCGCACAGATACATATACAACATACGTCCTTATACAGCTATGTAGCTAATTGATATCCGTAGGTACGTGGTAATTATTCGCTTACACGATTTATGTACAAGTTATCACGATTTCAGGTAGCCGAGAGGATCAGTGGCGACGAT